GTAGTGTGTGTGTGTGTGTATATATATATATATATATATATATATATATATATATATAAAGCTATGCATACCAGAGAAAAGATTCTTAGAAAGTTGTATAGAAATAAGGACTACGCGGTATTCCCAACATATAGGATAAGTCCGCGGATTTCTTTGCACAGTCTGCGATAAATTGAGTACTTGTGTGCAATATTCGTTGCTATCCTCTGGTAGAATGCGTCTTTACGAGGAAAGAGAAAGAGAAAAAAAATTATGCAACCCGAAGACTATCTGTGAGATGCTCTATATTTTTTATGCACTTTATATACATTTTTTTTTATGTCTATAGAAATGTCGAGAATTTGCACGGAGTGTCCCAGAAATCACAAGCTCGATGACAAATCTGTCGCAGTTTTTTTCCTGTGATTAGATTAATATTTTCAACTTCAGAGAAGATGAAATAATTTTCGAGTTTCGATATATTAAACCAAACACTTTCTTCTTTCGCATTATTTTACCTAAATTTAAATATTTTTTTACTAATGAAATGCTTCATTGCAACAAAATTGTTTTAAAAAAAAATCTGCTTTAGATTTGCCTTATAATAAAGGCAACTTTATATGTAAGGATCTATAATTAAAGTTGTTCTAGGACACTTTGTACAACACACTTACGTTTTTATATTCTTTTGCATTATATGCGAACATTAGTTCGAACATATATGATTCATATTTTGCTGTATCTTCAAAAGTTTACAGCAATAATCCATTATATATTTCATAAATTTATAATTATAATTTTTTCTTTAAAAAAAATATTTAATCGCTATATTTCTATAATTTCTTGAAATGTAGACCCATTTAGATATCTGCCGACCAGTCAGATTCTGAAAAAAATGAAATTGCGATATTCTAAAAAGGCTTCTTAATCTTTTCTAAAGTGTTCTACTATTCCCAACGTGCTCTATTAGTCATTACTAAAAAATTGCTTCCACGTATTACAGAACTTCTCGATCGTATTTTACATAATTAATACTAATTAATACTAAATTATAATTTACGCTCGGCGAATTGTACAAATTTAAGTTGAAACGTGACTTATAAGGTGACTCTTAATTTATATTATAACAAGAAAAAAAATATATATATAAATATATATATATATATATATATATTTAATATATCGCATTGATAATTTTGCGTAATGTTAGAATGCGAGAGGAGATTGAAAATTAGCGAGAGAACTTATACAATCAAGAAAATTTGCATGTAGTTTGCAAGTGTACATGCGTAATATATTTTTCGTGATATCGTACATCATATATTCGAGAAGATATGTATAATAAAATAGGAAACTAAAATAAAAATATCGAAAATATACTGAAATCAAGATGTAAATCTCGGATAAATCATCGTCGAATGTGAATAATAATGTGGCGATTGTCATGTAGCATTGTATATGTTATCCTTTAGTAATAATGATATATAAAATATTTTTATACAACGGCTATTATATCGTTAGACGAAATGCGTACACGCCTATAACGCTTTGCTCGATTCATGCGCAGCAGTTAACCAGCAAGACGCACCGGATGTCAAAAAAAGGAAATGTTAATTGCAGTTACGGTCCTACGTGTGCAATGCATTTTATATGCACCAGGATGCATTCGAGCTTCTTATAATAAATTATAAATAGAGATGTATATTCTCGCAGTAACATTGTTCGATAATTCGTGACGTGTAATTAAAATAAAACATTTTGTTTTTCATAATGAAATTTGATAAAAGATGTGTATGACACATATGTATGATCATAGACGATATCATTTTTAGATAATAAACTGGAAAGAAAATAAAATAGAAAAATTATATATAAAAATTATATGGAATATTGATAAATATAGTAAAATTATGAGTCTATATTTAAGAACATGAAAAGATTTTAAGAATATAAAAAATAAATAATTACAAAGAGAATGAGATGACAAATGATGTATATAGATCCAAGTCCACTAGTCAAATTTGTTTCGGACTCCATAGTACTGATGACATTCTCTGATTAATTATCTATAACGTATTTTTTTTTAAATATTTCTAAATTTCATCTTTTAAAAGTTTAAAAAAAGCGTATTTTTAAATATGAAATAAACTTTTTAATTTATTTGTGACAGTGCTTCTATCTTGTACTATAAATTAATTTTGTACTATATTTTTTATTAGGGTTACATAATTTCTCTTTATCGAAATGATACCGTTTATGCTCTTAACGTATGTGTGAAGTATTTAAATGTTTGATAAATATATCTTATTTCTTTGATAAATATATTTTTGGGGGATAAAGATGTGTATGCTCTAGAGAATATGCATTATAGATGTCTATACATCAACATGAAAGTTTTAAATTAACTTTCATAATTAAATTTATGGTATGCTATCGTAGGCAGTACTGTCGTCATACATACATTAAGATTTAAAAAAATATTGAGGATATTTATATGAATGTATAAAAATATATAGGTATACTTTCGGCAAGTCATGCACTGTTGATTATATAATCGGCTTTTCATTTAAGGTCTTAATTCATTGCGTGCAATGTTTTTGTAAAAAATCTATCATTTTTTTATTTTATTATTTTTGCGAATCGCCAATATTCAAATGCGATTGTATTAATTATGATAATTACGAAATATTTCGTTTTTGCAAGAAATATACATTGTAAGATTTAACAAGTCAGTCTATCATTAATATAATGACAATTATAAGTGAATTCTTTTATATATACATATACATATATATGATCATATTCGTATAATACAATTATATTTTTCGGGAAAAATATAAAATTGCGTAAAATTATATCTATTAATATATATGCAAAACGTAATTATACTTTCGAAGATTCGGCTATTATGTAATTGTTTGCAAGTCAAATGAATAAGCATTAGAATAAAATATTTAGTAAATTTTCAAATGTATTCGCGTATGGGTTAAATAAAGTGATTCTGTTATAAAAATATTGTGGTTATAACTTAAAATCGTGTATCAAAAAATATATATAAATAGTACAAGATACATTAATATAATAGAATATTTTAGAATATTTTGCATACGAAATTTTGGTATCTTGGAAACCTTGGGATTTTTTTAAGAGATAAATAATAAATCATATTTGTGCATTAATATATTTATGAAAACTATACAATATTTTACATGAATCAATTTTTTAATATACGATGCTCAGGCAAATTCATCATCCTATTTAAAGATCCTAATCGCAATATTATCAACGACTTTAATCTAATTAAAATTCTGAGATTCTGAGAAAAAAATATTTTAATAACAAATCTCAGATTTTTTCTAGTTTTCTTATATTTACTTTTATTAATGTAGATTAACTTTAATCTCTGTTAAATTTATTCTTTATCTTTTTCTAATTCTTACAACTAAAAACAGATAGAAATTAAATCGAGGTTAAAATTAATCTAGATTGGTAAAAATGAATATTCGTACTTAATTTTAAAAAAATTCAATATTTATATATAGATATTTAATATAGAAATTTGTATTCATTTATTTTTCTTTGTATATGCTATATAAGTTTAATTTTGCTTCTCTTTCTTTTTTTTCTTTTTCTTCTCATTCGACATTGATTCATCCATTTCTTCTGATACTGTCGTTTCTAAAATCCCCTCATTTTCCTTTTCCTTCTTCTTCTTCTTTTTTTTCTTTTGTCCTGTAAATAGAAATTATAATCTATTACTTGAGCAATCATTTTATTACAAAATCAACCAATTTCGATAAAAAATATTTTAATTATAATGATAAAATTTTATTAAAATATATTTAATTGCAAATTTAAAATTACTAAAATATATAAAAAAGATGAAATATCTTACAGCTACATAAAGGATTCAAGCTTTTAAAGAAATATATTTTATAATCTAGTCTATTTAAAAAGTTATATTGCAACATATCTTTTTAGTGATGTTGTTTTTAAATTATTGCCTACAGAATTAAGATAATAATTTTTATGAAAAATATGAAAGTTGAAAATAACTTAATCTTAGTAAATCTTCCACGCGCGCGCACGAGTTTATATTTTAATAATGACCTTCACTTGTTCCAGCTTCAATCGAAATATCTGCTTCGAATGTCTCCTCTGCTTTCTCTGAAGCCTCTTCAATTTTGATGGATTCCTTCTTTCTCTTTTTCTTTTTCTTTGATATGAGTTCTGAATCGGCTTCAACTTCTTGCACACTACATGCTTCTTCTATGTCTTCTGTTTTAGATTCTATATTGTATTTTTTCTTCTTTTTCGATGAGCTATTTAGTGCTTCCTCATTTTCTGGTTCTATACTACGTTTCTTTTTCTTCTTCGATACATCCAACTCTGTTTTTACTTGAATCTCTTCTTGAGAACCAGAAGCTTCTGTTACTTCTTCTGTTTTAGGTTCCATGCTGTGTTTTTTTTCTTCTTCGGCGTGACAACCGATTCAGTTTTCATCTGTGCACCAGAAAATTCCCCTTCTTCTATAATAGGATCTAAGCTTTGTTTCTTTTTTTCTTCGGTATAGATGATTCTTCTGCTTCCGCTTCTTCCTTTATTTGCTCATTCGTGCTGTGTTTCTTTTTCTTTTTCTTAGGGGCTTCTTCATTCTCCTTCGCCTTAATGAGTTCCTCGTTCTCCTTTATATCAATCTCCTCGATCAATGGCTTCTTCTCAGTCGGCAAAGTCGAGTCTACGGATGTGGAGTACTGCATGTATTCATTTTTACTATGATATTTCTCAAACTTGGCTTTCGCTTTGGCAGTGCCACTTATTCGACGCATATTTCCTGTTTCTAGTAACCTCAGTCGCGCCTCCAGTCTCGCTTTGTGTTCCGCACCAAGCTCGAAACTTGTGGTATCTCCCAACGCGTCGACTCTCGTCGCCAGGGAAGCTTTCGCTGCCAGCATCCTGGATATTTTGCCTTTGTTCTTGTTAGAGGACTGTCCAACAAGTTGTGAATGATAAATCAAACCATACTTGGGCGTATTTTTTTTCGACTTGAGAGCGCGAAATAGCGCCTTCTCCGCGCCAAGAATCTGCAATGTAGACGCTGGATGTTTGGCAAGATTGGTTAAAGAACCCGCCTTGGATATCAGTCGTGCACCGATTAAGTCGCCAACAAGGACTGTCAAATTTGGTGCCAGCGCCATCATCCTGGTCTTTAGATAATCGCATAGCTGAGATCGATACTGATGAAGCTCGATTATCTCAACACACAAGCATTGCATGTGCTCGGCGTCGTATTCTGATATCTCCGAACCCATCGAAGTTTCCGCAGCTTCCTTTACTTTCTCCTCGAGTTCCTCCGGCAGAATATCCGATAGATCACAATTGACAGCATTTTCTCGCTGACCAATTAGTTGCATTGTCTTTATGTACTGAAGATTGTCAGTTACAATCTTGCCCAACTCGGGAAAGTGCCAGCCATACCATTCGCGCGCTCGCATTATGTAGTTGTTAAGTTCTTTATCTAGATCATCCAGCAGACACACCGCCTGTATCACCATAGTATCTACTTTATCTGGTGAGAATTTCAGCTTGTATCGAGAAAGACTATGTGCCAAGCCTAATGCCATGGCCGTCATTTCCTTCTTGGTCACTCCAGTGATCAGACTATCCATCTGACTCCTGATACATCTCATCAATTCCTGTATCGCTGTATTACTCACACAGGATAACTGCAGCTTATCTTTGATGACATTGCCCAGTTTTGCATCAGAGACTGCTAGTTGTTCATGTGCTTCAGTACAGCTATTCCTAAGCGTTTTCTTCAGGGACTTGGACAGTTTTCCTTCCACAATCGCTGTAGTGGCAGCTAGAGCTTCGGTAGTATCCTCAAACTTATGAAAGTGCTTCAGCTGAATTCTGCAAAATAGGAAAGGTGTGGATAGAAATAAAGTGTCATATAATTGCCAAGGAGTTAATTGTCCTTAAGTAAAAAAAACTTACAATTTACTGGCGTTTTCAGGACTTTCAAAGTCCAAATAAAGATTCTCCGACCGCGAAAGTTTGCTCTCGTCCAACAGCTGCAAGCGAATGATCATTTAATTTGCGAATTTAAAATCATGCCAGATCATAAGATAATTTTATTTTCGTAAATAATCTTGTGTATGAAGCGAAATGAAATCAACACGTGCGCGGTCGTTTAGGTTAGAAAGCTTCAGATAAATTCAAACCTACCTTGAATATCGCGTAGCCCGCCGGCGTTTCAAACAGCACCAACATGATCGTTGCTTTATCTTTGCGACTTGATGCTTATAATAATCGATTTCATACAGCTTTCATGCAATAAACGAATATAGTCTCCAACCCCAGACGCCCACGCCGGAACAGTTAAACCCAAAATTCTTTTTGGAATGAAATCCCCGTGCGCGTCCAGTGCGTTATGAACAATTTACATTCCACTGCTCGGTATTCGACGTTATGTGACGATGCATGGTGTTGTAATCCAATCGGAAACGATGATTTCTAGTAATTTTAATCGATAACATATTTGCCAATAGAAAATGAATCCAGGGCCAGGATTCTGTACTCGCTTACCGACAACTATCGGTGTCGTTAATTAACGACAACCAATGATAGCCACGCTTTTTTCCAAGATCGTCCTTGTCATTGGCTGTCGTTAGTTAACGATACCGATAGTTGTCGGTAAGCGAATACAGAATTCCGGCCCAGAGGATTGATTGTGTCTTGAAACAAAGTGGAAATTACAAAAGTGAGGAATTTCACTAGAATATCTGTAATTCCATCTGTTAAAAGCTAATAAATTTCCTCACTTTTCGCATTTTTGTACGATACGAATTATTTAGATAAATTTATTTGTCTAGAAAAATTATTTTTATTTTTGTAAGAAAAAGATTTGTAAAATATCCGTCTTATAATTAATATTATAAAAACGTATATTTATTTTTTATTATAAAAACATATATAATTAATTATAAAAACATATATTAATTCTAAATTATTGTTTTCCAATAAATATGAAAATTATCATTATAAGGACTACTTAAATAAATTTGCATATAGTATGTCCAAAAAAATTTCCTTTTATCTTTAAGCAGTAGTGTAATATTTGTTTTATAATTAAACAAATAAATATATTAATCTGAAATTTCTATTTTTTTTTAATAAATACGAAAATTTATGTTTAATTAAAAAAATACACTACCAAAAAAAAAGAGAAAGAGAAAGTTTTTATTGAAATCGGAGTAAGAAAGTAGAAAATAATTTAATCATAATTAAATCTCTTTAATGTTTGACTAAGATAATTTTTGCATAATTAATATTATTATAATTTTACATATTTTATATATTTTATAATTTTAATGGAATTTTAATCTATGTGTTTGTTTAATTAGATTAATTTTGTTGAACATGGCGTAGAAGCGCCTTGATGTTTATCTTCCTAGATCCTGAGATTATCTAAGGTTTAAAGTCAGTTGCTGAAAGAAAGTGTGTTGGAAGAAATTACATAATTTTAATTTAGCAAATAACAACTACATTACAGTGTACGTGACGACAAATATTTCCTTATAATAATGTCACAAGACATTTTCTACTGTAGACATATTTTTAATCACAGAATTAGTGATGATGGAAATTAACCTATAATGTTGCTAAAAATATATAGTTAGAAATGAAATATAAATTGTTAAACATATTGCTACAAAAAGATTCTTTACTATTAAAGTATATAGTTAAAATATATAGTTATAATTATAAAATATATAGTTAAAAGCAAAATTTAACATTGAACAACATAATGTTACCAAAGTATCAAATTAGTGTCAGAATTTTTGTATGAATATGATATAAAGACATAAATACAAATGTTTACATGATTATTATTGATTGGTAGATAATAAAAGAATAATTATTAGTAATTATTCTTAGAATGTATATATAGCATAATGGAAAGAAGTAGAAATATATTTTGTATTTTTCATAGATGGGAGGTCATGATCACCATGCTTCACCATATAAAATACCCAATCCAGATATTTATAAGGTTGAAGATGTACCAGAACTGAAACGTGTTCAAGAAGAATTAGCCAAGAAGGGATTAAAAGATCCATGGCTAAGAAATCAGGTGTGGCGTTATAAACAAACCCAACCAGGCTATAAGCGTGCCTTGATAACTTTAACAAGAGGTTGGAAAATTGGTGTACCAGCATTTTTGATAACTATAGCTATTGAACAATATTTTGGAATTGACTATTCAGGTCACGGACATCATGGAGATAATCATCATTAGTACTTTAAATATGTGATATAAAAAAGTAAGAAATATAGTAGATTGTAAAGAGGTACATAACTGTAAAAATAAATTATAAAACTAATAATTATGTATTAATTAATATTTGTTTATTATTATTTAATCTTTTGGTTACATGAGGAATCTCTTGTCCAACAATGACTTGTTGCAGAGATTTCTTTTAACATTGCATCTAATGATCATTAGGAATAATTGCGATATAATAACTGTTGCTATACAGGCGAAAATGTAAGAATTATATAATGTTAAAAAGAAAGCAAATATGGTAATCTCGAATGTGGCTAATAGCCATTCGTTTCCGTGAAGCACCACTTTGTTAAAGGAATAATTGTTATCTGCAAGAATAAAATTAGATTCATTAATATAATGATGTCTACATTAATATTTTATTATAAATTTTTGCAATTTTATAGTACCGATATAGAAGACAGATTTATCTTTGGCATCTACGAAAAGAACATCGCACAGTTTTTCTAATACATGTTGCTCTTTGATTATGTAATCTTGATTTTCTGAACAATGATCTAAAAACTGCATTAGGAATTGTCTAACTTTTGACTTAGTTTCAAATAATTGTTTCCAACTTTTAGAAGGTGTGTCACTTCCTTTAAAAATTCCTATGCTTCCCTGCAATATATATTACATTAATATATATTACAAAATATATTATAAAATACATGATATCTTTAAGAAAATATAATATTAAATTTTTTGTTTTCTAGGCATACAAAGATAAAATATTATCAACATTCTTCTATGAACAGTCTCATACATACAGTATTTTTTTGTCTCATAAGTTCATCGTACAACGATTTAAATGATTGGGTCAATGATACTATGAATGTTTGTTCGGTTGTGCCAGGTACCAGACCTCTGTGCGCACATAAATTGTCTTCTTCTTTTTTTAGATCGTTTATCAGAGTAGGAAGATCAGTATCTGCGAATCCATGTACTGATCTATCGGAAAGTAATGATTATTAATTACATGTGTCCTCTAAGAAACATGCTTGAATTACCTTCCATGGATATAGAAGCCGTAATAATTGTGTGCCAAGATGAATACGCTGATGTTCGCAATCGAACATAAATCTACGAACTTCTGCAGTCTGTTTCTAATGTATCTTTCATAAATCGTAACACGGATCAACCACTGTGTAAGATATACAGTTATGTACACGAATGTGCAAATCGCGTATTGCAACGTAAAATTGTTCTTCGTTTCGAAGGTTTTATCCGCGGTCGATTCCGGTATCGTCAATATCCACGATTCCAAATCGAATATCTAAAATATTACAGATATAATCGTTTGAACTTTTTGTATCGCGAATTAAATTATTTCTTTTTTCACTGACTTGCAAGATACACAGAGTGTAAATCGATTGCAATGCTACATTTATTCTTCTTCTGGTTTGCAATTTGTACCATTCATTGGCAATGTAATAGGTTCTCCAAATACTAATAGGAAAATCATGCATATAGCTGCGCTCAGTTGCCTCTTGCAAAGGTGACTTCGCAATCGAGCAAACGGAAGAAAAATCTGGCATGTATTTATCAGTTGAAGAAGACTTGGACACTTCACTGGGGCTTATATTTTTGTGCGATCTTCTTTTTCGTCTGGATGCGATGATGTCCGATGTTATTCTTGAAGACTTATCCTCGCCCTTCGAAAATCTATTAGCATATAATTTCCGTAAAGAAGTATGCGGAGAATCGTACTTTGGTTGATCGTGTATCGACCGTGATTGTTCCCAATCGATAAAAAATATGCTCAAACCCCAGTATTGATAGACAAACCCTATCATTTCTGCAATCTGAAAAAGATTAATATTGAAGTATTATAAATTATATCAAGTTCTATACATTGAAATCCTTAATGTTGTGTCTCTATTTTATTTTTAGATAAAATATCACATCGTTTTACTTACTTTAAAGCTAAATGCTACAGTGATATACGTTTGGATTTTCTCTTCACTACTTTCATCGGGAAGAAGAACATGCGGTACAGTTTGACCTTTGTAAAAGATAAACAGATATAAGCATGTACTGATGCATATAAACATAATCACATTTCCAACAGCACCCATGGCATAGATCAGGAACCACAATAAGACAGTTATGCTGAGATTACCATTGTGATTACGTTTATAATAACTCCAAGTCTTAATACTGGAAAATATTAATGCTACTCCCGTCAACACTCCGATAGTTATCTAAAAAAATTATATATTATTCCTAACATTTAATCATATATTATAAAAAAAATTATATATTATTTCTAGCATTTAAGAAAAAGATAGAATATTGTATGAATTTTTACCTGAATATCATAATCTATTTCATTATCTTTTAATGTAAATGCAATTTTGTAATTTATTGTAACATCAGAATTATCGAGGAAATCTTGATATGTCAACTCGTCATACTCTACAATTAGAATGGGCGCGAAGATCTTGCCTTGATTTTTTCCGCTCTGAACGTTTACTCTAAAATTAGAATTCACATTTGTTTTCTAATCATCTGTGAAAAAATTTGTTATAAAAATATTACAAGCAACTTACAGGATAGTCAGAGATTTCATGTATCGAAGTACGGAAAGCTCTGATGCTTTCGTGAATCCATCGTGCATAAACGCCGGTACTGCTTTGAAACCGCTTATATTATCGACCAGAAAGAATTTTCGCACCAGTTGCTGATACGAGATTTCCTTGATCTTCTAAAGAAGAAGAAATTTATAAAAATTTTATTCTTATTATTATAATTATCATTGAAATGTAATCTTACCTGATCTGATTTAACAATCACAGGCAATGCATGTATAAATGATTTATTGTCCTGTCTAAATGTTAAGTAAGGAGATAATAATTCTACTTGTGCATTTAATAATTCAGCAGCGGTAATTTTGCATTTTTTACTGAAATTCATACCAAATCTCACGTTTCTTAAAAGTTGACAGGGCAAAGTCGGTCTATCGATGGACAAAAATTTACCATTCAATGCAAATCTCGCGATTATGAAATTGAGAATGGTATTCTGAAAATAAACACATTATTTTATTTTTAATTGCATTTTGAAATAACTATGTATTTAAATTGAAAATATAAATTATGTAAATTAAATTGAAAATTTGAATCAAAATAAGAAGCAAATTAAATTAAAAGAATAATAAATACAGAAATATAATCATAAGTCTTTAGAAATTTTTGTATGATAATAATTCTCTAATTTGTATAACAGTTTTATATCATTTGTACCATACATTATCTCCTTTTCTGAGACTATATCTCTCGGGTATTTTTGTATTGTTTATCACTGCTGTTGCGTCTTGTTTATTATAAAACAACCATATGGGTGCCATGGGTGTATGCATAAAAAACATACAGGCCATACCATCACTATAAAGAGTCAAGGCACATATGTTTGACAAGTGTTCACACGCCGTTTTGTCTTTCCTCTGAAAGGTGTTATTCATAGTTTTTCTAAACTGTTATATAATTGTTAATATATTTTACTTAATCAGTATAATTTGTTACCGTTTTCTTACATTTTTGAGGAAGTTTAGATATTTATACCTTGATATATACATACCTTGCAGAGATGCACCGCAAGTTGCAGTTCGCTTCTCAAGTAATAACTATCAACGTTCTCGCTACGAAACTTCATCAAATACGTGCTTCTAATGTCCGGCCAATCGGCGATGTCATCTTTATGCAAACAATAATTTCGTAGTCTCACATGTGTCGCGCTTGGACACACACAATTAACGTGGCCGCTGTATTCGTGGTTGTCGCATGGCAAACATTTGGAACAATCGCCAGACGGATACGTTCCTTGGATGCATGTTACGCAAAGCACAGCATCCAACGGTGCACCATTTATATTTCTGTCTACTACGAATAAAGATAAAGTTCATGTAATAAATAAGAAAGATTAAAATAATTTTTTTTTATAAAAAATCACAGTTTCAAATTGTTTTCAAAAATTGTATAATTCAAAAGGGATTTTTACATTAAAAAAAACGGTGTTTTACATAATATATATTTGTATTCACATAAAAATTAATAATTTAAAATTTAATAATCTAATGTTAATTAGAACAATATAAAAAATATTTGAATATACCAATCCTCTTTCCCGAATATATTCTAATAAATAATAAAAAATATATCTTCAAGAAAAAAAATTTGAAAAATTGAACTTTAAAAATTTATTTAACTATATTAAACTTTTTAATTAAGAATTTGTTGAGATTACGTCTTATCTGATTCGAGGAGCATTTGCACGTTGCATTTGAGCGTAGAATACAATCCTTTCCATCGGCAGTGGCAATCATGTTAGTACCACACATGGCGCAAAGCGAATTGCCATTCTCGAAACCAATTGTCTTGCTGAGTGCATCGCACTGACATCGCAAACCTGTGAGAATCACGTGGATGTGGAATAGATGAATAAATATAAAACAGCAAGAAATAAAGTTGTAATTGTAAACTCACGATTCGCAGCTGGTTCGAGATTTTTGCTGACGTTGCACCGCGAGCAGGATAAAGAGACCGTGTCAAAGTACTCATCGTATTTACACGAGTTCGGATCCCAGTATTCGAACACCTCATTGTTCACGTGAAACGCACTGGCGAGTGTCGCAAAAAAAATTACGATCAGCGTCAAGTGACGATTGTGGCCGCTTTGGGTGTAATTCATATTTGTTTACATTGCGGCTATCGGAGTTGCCATGCCGACGGTACCGGCATCTGGCCACCCGGTATACGTCGATTTTCTCGGAGAATATGTTCCACGTTGTTCCATACGGTCGTCGGAACCATCGAGAGGTAGGGATAGAATCCACGGCGAAGAGTGGGAAATAATTCGGACGTTGCGACGACCGTGGGAGTTGCGCTGCTACTTTCAAGGAAACAGCATCCAGAGGGATAACATCTCGTTGACGATCGTTTTTAGGTAAGGTCGCCCCGATTTTCGCGCCAAGAGAAAGAAAAAAAAATTAATCGCGATCAATTGTGATACGGTGACAAATCGCCACAGTGCGCGGGTGTAGATCTCATCGCGAACAATTTTAATGTAAATTTCGTATTTTTTTTTGCAGTGTATTACTTTGCACCGGAAATAAAAATCTTTACATATGGAATTTTTCTTTCTTCATTTTGCATTCTGATTTTTACGCGAGATGTGTTTTAATCGATTGAGATTGAGATATTTTTCTTTAAACCGGAATTTATTTAAAAAACAAAAAATAATTTGAAGATTTTCGCGTTTATCAAAAATAAAATTGGCTTAAATAAATCTTAAAAATAAGTTTGTTATAAGACAAATGTTTATTCTAAGATATTTAAATTTTTATAAGAAATCAATTTTTTAAATTTATTTAAATCGATTTTATTTTTCTTTTTCAAAATAATTTTCTTTATAGTCTCGTGCTGAAAATAATAAAACTTGTAAATGTATGTAAGTTCGGTATTTGCAACGAAATATCTCACTATACATTCGAGTCAAGTTTGAGAAATTGTTTTTGAATGAAGATTTTACAAAGAGATGTTCTGATTAATTATACATATATTTTATCACATTCAATCATGATGCAATGACGCGATATACCATTCGCATCAGTGAATGAAATTAACATCGTGTCATTATGTCATTTGCATTCCTAATCGATTGGCATCGTTAACGCAGTGCTGAAAGACATTGTCTGTCATAAGCGAAATTACGAAATCATAATTATGTGATTGCACCGCGCAATTAAGGCATGCTCATTTATTCATATATGTGTATGCCAAACGCGTTCTTCTTTAACAATGCATATGTAATATTCGCGCGAATGTAATCAAATTAATCATGCTATTTTTAATTATTTTTAAGCCTTATTAATGTTATCCATCTTTTAAATATTAAGGTATATGTTTTTACAACAAAATATCTGTTCTGTAGGTCTGACATTAATTTTTATTTGATAGCAATATTTTTCATAAATGCACAATTTTAAAACAATATTTTATTAATTTTATTTTATTAATTTTTATTTAACTACGTTATTAATCTTTTATGATACTAATTTTTAATGATAAAAATATTTTCGTAAAAAAGCGTACCGATTAATTATTGAATAATACAATGCTGTTTTTTGCCTCACCGAAATTCGGCACCTATAAGGATATTAACATTAACATATTGTTTACAGTAATTTATTTATGCATCATTTGTTAATCGTTCGCTAAAATAAACAACAAATAAATTTCTAATTTCATAAACAATTATAGAATTACACAATTGAAATGTAATATTAAAACACAATTTTATCACATGATACGCTTATGACTTAACCTAGCCGCGCATTCGCGTTATTTTATTAATTCATAAATAATATCTGTGATGCAACGGAAAATGTAATTAATTTTTTTAATCAAGATTGTCTTGATTTTAATCAAGATGCTTTAACGGCATTAATTCGAAACGCATATATATTAATATGATAATATTAAAAATTTACAATATCAACAAATAAGTAAAAAATTAACATTGCACTTGCAATTAATTGCATTATTAATAGTATTCTGTTATAAAACTATAGTGTAGATTGTGCACGGCTGGGATTATTTTGTAATCGATATCGCCATTTTTAAGTGCCGTCTACCAGCTAAATTTGGCGATCTTACGCAACGATAGAGAACGAACGCGATCTGACACTACGAGCACCGTTTTCGCTGACTAAACATACAATTTCACATTATACAAATTAATTTGTGTAAAATGCGTAAATTTGTCTAGTCATAAATCGCACGCAAAAGACAATTAAATTGACGGACAAATTTTTAAGATTATGTTTTACATCAATCGTTATAGTTTTTGAGATAAAAAGTGCATTTATTCCTTAATTTTGTCGATAATTAACAAATGATGCATGAATAAAATTCTACAAATGATATTTATGTTAATATTGTTATTTTATAAAAACTGATAATTCTGATAATACAAAAGACAATATTGCTCTAATAAATAATTAATTAATATTAATTAATATTTTTATAAAAATATTTTAAACGTTAGAAAATAATATTGAGCTTTATTGATAATATTGTTAAACAAAAATTAAATATTGTTTTAAAATAGTGTTCTTACGAACAGAATTTACTGCTAATAAATAAAAATTAGTGCATTATCTATAAAGAGGACATTCTATTAAGGAATTTGTTTACGAGACTATTAAAATTTCATTCATGTACTAAGTGTTCGTTTGTTGGCAGAGAATCTTTCCGTTCTCGACGTATTCGGACATCCGATACTTCGCGCGAATTGACACAGCTCGACGCAATTGCGCGATTTATTTAAGTCCACCGTTCCAAGCGAATTCGTTAAATAATTTAAAACGAGAATCTAGCGGTTGCTGAGTCAGAATCTAAAACAGTTGGTATTATATCCGCTGTAACTCATTATTACGTTTGTGTTATGCGTACATATGTCTAACTTGTCGCTGATCCACTTCACCAACTTCATTTTACACATGTCAATTACATTCCATTTTATTTTTACATAAGAATATATTTAATTTTATTATTATTCTGATGTATTTTTGTTATCAAAATTATAATTATAATCATTATTATAATCATTTTAAATTATAATTTTAAATTAATTTTTCAATTTTAAATTATAATACATAATTTCTAAGTTTGAATAAATAAAAAACTAATAATAATTTTGATATATAATATTTCATTATAACAAAAAAAATAAATACATTAAAAATTTAACCTAACAATAAAATAAATTTAATAGATTCGAAATTTAAAAGTTTAAATATCGTAGTCATTATTGTATAAATTATCAAAAATAACATATATAGATTTATAAATTATAAATATATAAATTAATAAAAAGAACAAATACAAATATGACAAATCTAATTTTAAAATTATTAACTCTAACTTAGTCAGTATACTTGAGAAATTCTTATAATTATAATTATAATTAATAATGTTATCATTAAAACAAAATTTATCAATATATTTATAGGAAATTATTAAACACGAAAATATTTATATTATTCAAAGTAAACTAATATATTGATTCAATTTGAAAGCATTGAAAGTGCTTCTTATTTGCATCACGTTCGCAACATTTCTGAATGATTACGTGAATTGAAACGTATTTAAACGTACGAAAATGGTAGATATACATCGCGCATAGTAAGATGCAGGAAATACATCAACGAAGGATTGAATGATGAGTCGATTCGCTTTAAATCACAGCTACTTTCCAAGAGGATGCGCGCCAGACGCATACATGTCAATTAAGTCGCGTGGACAATCTAATCGAAAGAAGCTAGCTATCGTTTGTCGCGTTTTGGCATGTGTAATTCGACAGGAACACCTACTCCACTAAGAGGATACTCTAAATGTCATTTCACGCTGTTTATTCCAACTTGCGAATTTATGTTCAATCGCATCGCGTAAAACGCGACTGCTTATTTCGAACTATTATCATCGGATATATTTGTGTCGATGATCCATGGTCGGACAAGTAAAAATGCATCTCGTTATTTTATCTGTATAATATATAAACAAATCACCAGTGTCCAAGAAGGACTAATTGTCAAAACAATTCCATCATCACCTGACACATTGTCCACCGCTCTCATTGTATTGCAGATGTTGAAGTGTTGAAAATCATCACAAAATGTCAGATTTTGGAGCAGAGAATTAAATAACTTTTGTTTCTAAAAACTGGGTCAAACGTCAGACAAAGTTGAAGTCGAGAAACAGCTTTATCTAACATCTTCAATATAATATATTTATTCAGCAAAGAAATTTTATAAAATTTTTTTTTATATCTATATTAGAGGACTTTTCTGTTATAATTTAAGATTTTTATTTTTCTTTTCAAAGTGGTTTAAATTAAAAGATTAAAAATAATTTATTACTTATAAATTTGATCATACAATTACATTTGAATGTATTATGTTTTTTCTAAAATTTGCAAATTAATCTTAATTAATTATGATTAAATTTGCGATTAAATTTTGCATAATTAATTTTTTAAAATTATGAAAATTTAATTGTTTATTAGTTGGATTTATCACGTTATTAACTTTTATTTGTTCTGTTTTTAGAAAATCTTATAATTACTATTGTACCACTATTATTATTCAAATATTTAAAATATAAAATATATTTTCTTTTAAATTATTAATTCTAAAAACAAATATGATAAAAAAAATTAGTGATAAAAAAATTAAAATAATTTCACGTCTACACTTGTCACTTTTATAAACAAAATCTTATATAAAAGGTAACATAAATTTTAACAAAATATGACTTTATAAAAATTTATAGTTTAAATAAATGTGTATAATGCAGATATAAGAAACATTTTTCTTTTCTATTTGAAAGTTTGATTTAATAAAATGTAATGATTTATAAAATATTTTTATTATTTGCTGAAAAAGCATGCATGAATATTGGTAAAATCGAAAATAGATGGCCTCGATTTAATTTAATAGTCGACTAATATAAATAGATCGATGTACAACACTCATTAGTCTACATATGCTACTGTACGCTACTATGCTTTAGTACACGCGGTCGCAACATCTCGATTTAAAAATAATTTTGAAACAAAAGATGTAGGCGGGTCGATGTACATTAATCTTCAATCCGAAGCTTACGACACAATGACGTTATTGAAAGTGACAAGGAGGAGACTTGAATCATTACTCAATAAATGTCAACATTGCGGTCACCATCAATTTTGCATATACATTGACATAGAGCATACATAAATAATTTTTATAATAATTTTATACACACTTAAACATTTCTTTAATCATATTCTTTCACGTCTACACTTGTCATTTTTATAAACAAAGTCTTATATAAAAAGTAACACAAATTTTAATAAAATATGGCTTTATAAAAATTTATAGTTTAAATAAATATGTATAATGCAGACATATAAGAAAAATTTTTCTTTTCTATTTGAAAGTTTATCAACAAAAATATATCGATTTTTTTATGGTTGAAAGAATTAATTAAATTCGTTGCAAACGGCACGCATTGCAATCTCGCTCTTCCAAGTCGTCTTTTAGCTTCTTTGTAGAGGTCGAAAACGCGTTAATTAAGTTGCGTCTGTGAATACAGACGCAGAGATCGGCCCTGAAGAAAGGGAGAGTGGACGCTCGGGGAATCACACCTCGTGTTCAGGGAGATTGGTAGCCCGGGCTTCGTGTGCGCGCCGTGCCAGTTCAGTTCACGGGCACCAAATTAGACGCGGGTTATTTTCGACCGGCGTACAGCCGCTCGCTCCAGTTTGCTGACGATGACGAACCAAATCGCCACCGACGAGAGAATCCGCCGGACCTCTGTTATATGCGGCGATATTGCGCGCCTCTTGGAAGCCACGTGCATCAGAACGGAGAGAGGCCGGGGATTACCGCGTGGTGTCACACGCGTTTGGCGAAATGATTTTCAGCATTATTAGCTCTATGTGGGTGGCACATAACCGGAACGTTTGCTCATATATCAGAATTAGAGCTCCCCGTTGTATTAATACCAAGATATCCATTTCATTCAAGCTACACGGAAAGAACGGGTTTGCTGAAGAATCTAAAAATTTGGCTCTGAAAATATAAAAATTCTTTTATATTCTAGCAAACAACTCGAACGTCCTATACGATTCTATTTTGACACTTAACAAAATATTTTCAAATTTGTATCTGATCAAATTCTTTTAAATATATTTTTTTAAATATATTTTTATATTTTTTCTTTGGTCAAATTTTTTTAGATACTTTTTTAGATACTTCAGCAATACATCGCCAAATCATTTGCTGTAACATTATTAAATTTTAGATTATTAAACTATTAAAATTATAGTTTTGTCGAAATTGGAATTGTTTCGAAAATACATTGTATTTCTTAATTTCCAGCAATCTGGACATATCTCTGGGCATATGGAGTGCAGAATGTATTTAATTTTGCAGATAACAGGGAGAGTCAGCCCAATCGAGATGTCGAGGCCAATACTTAGCAGGCCGCGCACGTTCATCTATGGCAGCAACTACGACAAGGGCGAATCTTATTACAAGCCCATGGTCGACCACCTAGACCGGAAGTACAGCGGACGGCCGTTGTTCCCGGAGCCGAGAAACTCTCTAGCCGACGAGATCGCGGCGCGCCGTAGCGACATCGGTAACCTGTTCAATCGTTTTCCAAAGTGGTTTTGAAGGAGTGTTGTAAAAAGACTTCCCAGACCCTCCTCGAGAGATTGTCGACGAGGCTCGCTGAATAGATTCGTTGCGCAAATGAAAAAATACTTGAGAAAAAACTCTTATCCTTCCTCCCTTGTCCTGCCTCAACCTTTGCTCCAACTCCCACGACTCGCATGATCGATCTGCCTCGTGATGAGGTACTGTCAATTTTCATTATTCGATTCGGTATCGCGATATCCTCTGTCGATTACACGATCACAGGGATCGCGATGCAGAGATCGAGATTAGGATGTGAACGGAAAAACGAAAGGAAAATAATATAAAAAAATGTACATAAGCAGAAAAATAATATTCGCAGTAAAGAGAGAATATTTATTTTAAATATATTATATTTTTATTTATATGTCATATTCTTTAAGATTTCCCAGAGTTTTAACATGTAACATATATTTATTATTCAAGCTCGAAAATAAATTTAATAATGGAATTAAAGTAGACCAAACATCATTTCTGTATTGAGAATTAATTTGCTAGATATTCGTATGAAGAAGCTTATAAATAGACTTAGAAAAATTGTATGGAGAAGAAACGCAGCAAGAAATTCAACGAATAGTCGGCCGTCTTGCCGAGTCTCTTCTTGATATTACTAAAGCTTACGGTTAAAACTTACGGTCCTGATATGCAGCGAGAATGAAGTCCTCACATTCTAACGGTTTGATCGAATTTTGATATCATCCTTTTGCGTGCATCGATCTTTATTGTCTTGCCTGCCGTCTGTGTAGTTAGTCTCTGGATTATGTCTCCTATTTGATGTATCATCTTGCTGAATAAATGTTTGATTTCCTAAGTATATGTTGATTTTACGCGGAGAGCCTTAGTGTGATTGTTGTACGTATGTTATGTGCTTGCTGCGACGATCATCGACAGGATCGACGCGCCAGCTTCTGACGAGAGTCATTTTCGTCCAACTTCGACATCGCGAAACTTTTTCCTTCGCTCTTGATCCGTGGATTATTTATACGTATGCACACTCACACGTATCATTCACATTGACACACAGATGACACGGTGAGGCGATTTATAGAAAATATTGCATGTCTTCTTAAATAAATCTACATATAAAAAGAAGAAAAATAAAAGAATAGGAAAAGATAGAAAAATAAGGATTAATGTTTAATAAATAAATTGTTTAATTCTTTTTGGTCAAAATAGTAAAAGTTTTGTAAAAGTATTATAAGAGAAAAAAAGTTTTCTGTAATCTGCGCTAGAAAATATTATAATGTCTAGAGATAATAAAGATATTATAATATATAAAGATATTATATGTTATTATATATAATTCAATGTAAATGTCTTAAATTTCTAATGGAAAAAAAATGAATACGAGTTACTTGTTTTTGCTGTATACTTATCTGGGACATTTTATATGTTCCTGGCGTCGCAGATGATGCGAAATGCGGAGGATGAGGATAAACGTTGTATGCTTGATATTAGATGCAACTGCTAGTTTATTAGCATAGTCAGACACACTGATGGGATTTTGTGCCAGGCTGCTAATGTGATGCGCATCCGAATTTATTTTTGATCAAATGACACTAAAAATACGTATAACTCACGGTGAAAAGCATGAAATGTAACTGGCAAAGTGTCTTAAAACTTTTATTAAAACTTTTATTCTGCAGAGAATTTTTATTCTGCAAAATTTTGGAAATAAATAATTTTATAATAATTAAATAAATAATTTTATTATTTGTAATTTATAATAATGTATATTCCTCTTTTTCAAGAAAATAATTTGGATAATTATAATTATAATTTATGACAATGTAGATTCTTATTACAATTATATATTTATGCTGCTGTTGCATCTAATGTTAATTTATATTTTTATTAGATTTATTACTTAAATTATAACCAGTGTTGAAAATAACATGTTTAAATTTACTTAAAAAGATCGTATCTCGATATCTATCAGCGCAATGTGAAACATAATATTTTAAATAAAGATATATTTGAAATGAAATGTTTTCTTCTGTTTAAATTCCCTCTCAATACATCACTGGTTATAATTTATTTATGTTTTAAATATAATTAAAATAATTTCATATTCCTTGTATAGATATACCTATTAATAATAATGAGAAAAATATAGATGAAGTATATATTTTTAAATTGCGCAATTTACAGCTAAATTAATTGAATTGTGAGCTTGAACTGCGAGGCTTCATTCATTCTGCTAAATCATTCTTCATCTCATCCAATATTATCTTTTATCAACATTCCTTTTCCATCCAAAATCGTTGATGCAACTTCGATCGTTCGGCGCAGTTTCTTAACGACATGTCCATTTTGGTCATCATTCCTCGTCCTTTTCACAAATCAACACTCTTTTCTGATATCGGTTTTTACAGGCACGCGCGACCTCTCCGGTCCTCGCACTGGCTCCCTCGGCCGTGACCTTGACCTCGACCTCGACCCTCGTACCCGCGCCTCCCAACTACCGCCCTTGACTGACCCCATGCTAGGCTTTGATGACGAAGACACTGTCTACGACAGCCGTGGACAACGCATATCGGCACGTCGTAGATTGGGCGACGAGTTTGCGGACGAAGTATCGGCGACGACGCGTCGTTTTCGGGCCCGAGTGGCAGCGATGGGCCTCGAGGACGAGCTCGAAGCTGCGACCGTCGCGGGTCAGGCCAGAAGAAACGCCGCCGATCTCCTGGAAAACACGGTGACCGCCAGGAAGGGTGCCAAAACGGCAATCGAGGATGTCGAAAGTAGTTTCAAGAGACGCTCGAAGCTCTTCGATGAGATCGAGCGTGCTGACGAGAGTAAACCGGTGTTCGCCAGGTGGTCCAAGTTGATCAACGAGGATGACGACTTAGCGCAGACCAGCGCCGCAGCCAGCCGAGCCATGCAGACGAAAGCGCGTCTTCACGACATCGAGTCGGAGATGGAGGAACTCGCCGAGAGACAAGCCAAAAGGGAACGCAGGGCGGCGGCCCTCAGGGCGCTGGTCAACGAAAATGCCGCTGCAGCTGATGCCGATCTCATTCAACAATCGGCCATCAACAAGAAGGTGCGCATCGCCGAACGCACGGAGAAGCATGTCAGCTTCTAGAGAATCTTGCGATCTACTTTAAATCTCACGATGATGTTTTACAGCCGTTATATCTTACACGCTGAAAACTTTAAAAAAGATTTCAAAAAAATTCGATCTTAAATCTAAAAATGTTTTTTGTTAGAGAGATCATTAATTTCTATTAGCGAAATCATTAATTTCTGTAAATCATACAAAGAAACAACTTGTAATCATTAAACACAATTTTATGTCAAAAATATTTAAATGTAATTTTATTGTTGATTTAAATTCTACTTTCTTTCATAATAAATTCAAATAAAAATTTTAAATTATTTGTTTTTAATGACATCAGCATTGTAATCTTTACTTGCACCTTTTTAAAAAAATATTTAATTATTATAAAAATAAATAAATATTAAAATAATTTTTATTTAATTAAAATTTTTTTATTATTGATCGATAATGTAAGAAATAATCGACTTGCTGCAAAACATTGTTGTATTTTAATATATAAATAGAATGTTTTCGATGTATACGCTGTTACATGGCGGTCGCCATTTTTACGGCGGTCGCGCAATTATAATATTATATTATCGCTAAAATTTGTTCGCGAAACAAATGTACGATGACTTGATAATTTTAATAGTGTCTTATTGACAATAAATTATCAATAAATTTTATTAATAATATCAATATCAATAAAATTTATTGCTAATACTCAATTTTGATGCTTATGCTCATGATATAACACGTACGTTTGTTTTGCTAATTCTATAATTATAAATATATAAATACGTTAATGCGAGACGTATCTTTCGAAAATATACTTAATCCTTAATTTTTATTATCAAAACGAAAATATTAATTACGATGATTTAAATCCAACGTACATTTCGATTATAAATTAAATTAGGATTTATTTCTTTACAAGCCGTTCTGATTTAATAAATTTAAATTTAGATTATTTTCTTTTAAATTCATGTCGCAAAATTTGTTTAACGATTTCGTTAATATTATAATACATTGCTCAAGATTTAATGTATTTTCGAACGGTGTTTCTCACATAATTTGTTGCTTTTCCATTCCTCGAGTATGATTCGAGGGAGCTTAAATGTTGATTGTTCCTAACGAATGTCTTATGTTTTAATATTTAAAATCATTCTCATGTAAAAACTATTATTACTTTTAGCGTGATATTATAAAGAGACGCAATGTTGCATCCGTCTCAAAACATATTACCTCTTTTAGGAAATTGTTTTCCGCTATTCAGAGAGACTCTGTAACGCAAATTTTTAAACACACGGCGAAATATTTGAATTTATCATAAATGTATATTTTTCTTCTTTCTTATTTATGAATAAATTTCTCTTGAAAACTTTTCAAATGCAAACACACGTATGTGTATCATACACCTTCCGAATTTTCCTTTTTATTATATACCTTTTATTTATCATGTATCTTGATGTTTTCTTATCCATTTTTCGCATGCACGAGATTTCATAGTAGCTGCATAGTGAAACTGCAGGTAAGAATCTGTTTCATAAATCGACAACTATTCGCTTATATTAACAATTTTTAGAAACTTTAATGACATTTTAATTTAAAATAACCAGTTTACCTAAAACAATATTTAAATTCATTTAACGGTCTCATTAAAAATTACATACATAACACGAATAATTTTACATCAGATAACACGAATAATTTTCAAATAATAGTAATTATTCAAATAGTAATTATTAAGAATAAATTTAAGTAATGTTCTTAACATGAAGAGTTACGTTACGTAGTAAAAAATAGAATTGACATTAATATTTTAACAATATTATCATCTTAACATGATCCTACTAACATTTTAGGCTCTCGTAACTTGTCGGGAAATCGCGACGATTCCTACGACGAGCTGGACTTCTTGCTCGACGGACGTGGTCGACCCGTTCAAGAAGATCCTTACGAGGACGATTTCGTGATCACTCACCGACGTTTCAAGGAACGTGCGGCTGCCGCATTCGAAGAGGATATGGCGGAACTGAGACGCAAGCGGCGAGACATGCAGGTTGAATTAAATGAAAGGACAAGCCAATAATTTAATATTAAAACCAAAATAAAATTAAGTAGCAAATGGTTATTAGTAAAACAAAATATAAATAATTAAATTATTTGCATATGCAACTTTTAAAATTTGTCAACAAAATTTGTATTTGTGAAACTTGCTTCCTTGCAGGATCGCATTTTTGATGTGATTGACCTAAACGCCGAGATAGAGAAAGCCAAGAGCACGCTGGAAGCCGCCGATGTCGTATTCCAACGACACGCAACCAAGTTCGACAATCAGGGTGATGAGGAGCAAACAACGTCGCTGGCGCAGAAGCTTGATAAAACGCGCAAGATCGCAAATGTCAGAGTGCCGGAGAAATCGAAGCCCAAGATCTTTTTTTTGAAGTGGCCTAAAATGCTAGTTGAGGAGCCAGAAATTGCTCAAACAGGAAGACAGCGCAGGATCAACTCGTTGATCGACACCGTTGAGATCACTGATCCGCTGGAGACTCTTATGATGCAGCCGATAAAGCGGAAGTTTTTGAAAAGAAAGAAAAGCGTTTCGTTTTAAAAATGTTTTTCTATATGATGCTGTCAAAGATTTATTAAAGAATACGTCAATCATCGGAGTTTTCCGAAAATTTGGAGAACTATTTTCATTCTGCAATGTTAAATCAATCTGCAATGTTAATAATTAAAATCATATATCAATATCATCAAAATGGAATTATTAATGGCATTCATTCATTTAGTTTATCAATAAACATGTTCTTCTCTTTGTTCTTGGAATAATATGTTCTTTATGAGCAAATAGTTATCTATCTATTATGTATTAGAAAAATAGTTTACGCGTATTTATAATAAATAAATTAAGTATCAAATAAAATTAAATTAAACAAAGAACTTTTAAATCCCAGAAACTCTTCCTATGAAAATAATATTTAGAAGTAAAGGTGTATTTTACAATGCCAATCTTTAATGGTACATATGTAATTAGTGTAAATATACAATATATTAGCTGCGATAGGCAGACATTATTCATTTTATCAATCATATCTGAATTGCTATTAATCTCACTAGTTTATACAAAAAAGAACCTAATAAAAATTGTTGAATTGCAAAATAACAATACAGTCGAAAAGATCTGTATTAAATTACATTTCAAAAAATAAATATTAATTCCTATATATGAAAAACTGGATATATAAGTGGATATATAAGTGGATATGTGAAATTTCAGTTGTCTTTTGATAATTGTCTTTTGACAGCTTTTAACAGAATGAATGACAGATTCACAGGATCTTTTGATACTTCAGACTATAATAGGCGCGAGTATGGTAGCTGTAATGTCTAGACGTGAGTCTCATGTTAGTGATGTATTTCATGTCGGCCGATCGCTTGAAACTTTTGTCTATATTCTTTTGATCATAAGTCCTTAGAGCTCTTTCTGCCCATTCTTGAGGCCTTGGTGGCTCGCGAAATATACCTTTCTGCCTCGAATCGAGATAGTCGATCACATCGTCATAATAGTTCTTCCTATTAAATAGAAAAAATTATTCTGAGATTGAATATTGAAATAATTACAATATAATAAACATTTTTTGTCGCGAATCCGAATATTTTATATTATAATTTGTAAATTATAATTCTTTAATATATTTAAAAGCAATTGAGATATTTCTTTTCTCTCTTATAACAATTAAAATAAAAAAATTGTTTAAAGTAAAAATTAATTTAAACTACGTTGTTTTATCAAAGAATTGGAAAAAATCGTATTATTTCTAATTTTGATTTTATATTTGTTGAGTTCGATTTTATAATTATACGGATAATGATTATATAAGCTTTACCTATAATCGTAAAGATACGCATAATTGAGGAACAATGGTCGAACCCAGTGATGATTGTAATGCGGTGGCTCAAGTTTTAACAATTTCAGGACTGGTTTTTCAGTGGCAGCTGCCTCAGTGGCTGCACCTTCTGTCGCACCCTCAGCACCCGCTTCCGGAGCGGGTTCTTCAATATCCCATGGTGCAGGTTCGTCCTCCCACATCTTATATTATAAATTTACCTTGATATTATGCCTGCAAATAATATTAAGTGTAAGAGAAATTTATGATTTAAAAGAAATTTATTTTGTTTAAATTAATTTGGTATTTAGTACAATGGATTACAAAATTAAGAATCTTTTTGTTAATTCGTTTCTTTTGGTATCAATGTTATTTTTAATATTAAAATTTGTTTATTAATAATTAAAAATCTTAATAATTTAAAATTTGTTTATTTCTCCCAACATTTTTAGTCTCTCTGAACAATGTTTTTCAAAAATATGAGAATCTGTTCTAACGTTAATTCAATTTTCACACGAGATGAATTTTATTTAGCTAATTAATATATATGTATCATAAAGAAACAGGTCATCGTAAGATATAACGAATCGTTTGGCGGAGGAAACAATTAGTATTCGTGGCGAAACTAAATGCCATACCAATCTCCAAGTTGCATTAAATGTCTTGGCTAATATTATATTTATACATATAAAATACTTTTCGATTATAATTTTCGTTAACGAACGAAATAATAACGCAAAATAAGCACGCTTTACAAAATAGCATTTGTAATATATCGTTTCCTTGTCACTTTAATAAACTATCATAATTTTTTCTTTTGTAACAAACATACCAATAAAAAATTATGACATGTAACTGGCATGATAATAGAAAATATCTCAAAAACGACAATGTAAACGTCTAAAAACGACAATGTAAAGATTTAAAAATTGCCAATTACACAGATATAGCTTTAAAAAAAACACAAACGACGAAAAGTCATCTCCCATGAACACTGTGAAAACTATCTCGTATTTATTATTATATTCTTTTCACTCGATGATCGGATGCAGCTAGGAGGTAGCAGATCAGTGTGATGTGATATGATACCTGTTCTTCGTTTCGCACTCGCGAGTACTGCGAAAAAAGTCAGCCCTTCTGCACGTCGCGAGCTCTCCACTCCCCGTGGAGCATGCCTTGTTTCGCTTTTATTTTAGCAACATCTTCCACACCCCTCGCTCGTTCCTTCGAAGGTACGTGGCTCTTACCTCGGCGCAGAGGGGACAATTTGGCACACAATCGACGATAATTATTGGCGTTGCGATGACTCCTCTTTCTCCGCGGCCGTACGCACGTGCGTCGACGATTAGCTCATGGATTTTGTACCTTGATATTCGTCCTCGCGCTACTTCATTAGCATGCTTATTGACATTGAAGAGCAAAGCTGACACTTTTGGCCGAGAAAATACACATTCATTATAATTGAGATATTCTGCACTGAAACAAATAAAACACATTTTGATTGTTTAAACTCATTAATTATCTGTTCATCAAGTTTTGTTGCTTCTGATATTGATTTTATAGAATAAAATCTTGAACGTGTGCGACGAAAAAGTTTATTGTTCGATATGTAGTCAATTATTGTTATTTATAGACGAATTATTCTGTGACCTGATATTAAAGCTCTGCGCGGTATAATTATTCGACAATAACATTGACACCATACCCTAGTTTACTTATTATAAATCACACGAATTGTAATGAAGATTGAAATAATTAGAAGCATATAGATTTTAAATAAACATTAATGATTTTTATAATTACATAACAATATAAAAAATCAGTATATAAAACAAAATTTTTCTTAATATCTTGCACAAATGTATTTAAAAGAAGGAAATTTATAGAAATTATAATTATTCACTTTGTAATTATATCGAACAGATGTTTTTATGAAAGTTATTAAATTATAGATATAAAATATAATTTAAAAATATTATTTAGACGTATATATAATGTGCTATTTGAGGAAGTTTTTGCAAAAGATAATAAATTTTATCTAATAAAAATCTAATAAATTTAAATAAATCTTTAATTGTTTAAAGTTGTAAAAACTACTTTCGATGGCTGCCAAACAGATACTGACGCTTCCTTCTTGACAAGATATCTGAAATCGATTTTAGATGAAACTACATTCCAAATTCTTTTTTCGAGCATTATTATATCTTATGTTTTAGTCATTAATCCGAGACATGGTGACTCGGTGTTAATCCAAGATTAATTAACTTATAATTTAAAGATAATAGATTTGTGTTAATTGCTTAGATAATATTTACTATGAAAGGTAGATTGGGATAGGTGTCTCCGACAGCTTCGAAATATCGTCAAAGTTACGCGGGAAGCATGATACAATAAGAGGTATTAAGAGGTAACGAGGTTAGAACACGCGTCTTCCGGGATCGGCGAAAAATCGTTGAACTTATCCGAGTAGCATGCAGCGCGAGGAAGTATGACTAAGAACTGGCGGGAATAGAAGGCATTGCCGCCGACTGGCGCGAGTAGTGGGGTCGCCGCGCGCTTATTGGCTATCGCCATAGGAGGGGCGCGCGCCACTTATTGGTCCTCTCCCACTTCCCGCCTAGCGTAGGCGTAGACACTAGCGCTCGCTCATTGATCGGTGGTCACATGACATTTGGTGGTAGGGTTATTCAACAACCTCTTTGCTCAACGTGCGTTCTTGATACTTCTTGATATTTTTCGAAGCTCTCGGGAGACACGGCGATCTAATACCGCCAACTCTTAAGACCTCTTGTCTCAATATGCTGCCCGGATAATTCTGACGATTTTTCGAGGCTCTCGAGAGACACGTGCTCGTTGAGTGTACTTTAGTTGGCTACCCCTTAACACCTCTTATCGTAATATGATTGCCGGATAATTCTGACAGTATTTCGAAACTCGGGAAGATTCTTCTAACTAGTGAAACTAGTCTTATCCTATACAGTGAATATCACTTGAACTTTTTGGACTATAAATGTTTCATGTTTTGTTCTAAATATTATATAAGCTAAATAATTATGTTATAAATAATTATTAATTAATTACAAATAGAAATAAATAATATTATAAGCATATAAATAAGCTTTAAAATGTTTAAATGCATAAAATAAAACCGATGAAAATAATTTATCATACAAAATAAAGATATTAAAGATATTTAATATTTAAATTAATTCTTTCAAATTAATTTTTAAACTAATAGATCTGAAATAACGTTTCTTTTCCTTTTTCGAAATGCCTTTTCTTTTTTATATGCCTATGAACACACTATGAATATCTAGATATTACGCGTTCGAAGCTCGGCACTCGGCGTCGTGGGTGCATTTTGTGGTTAGCAAGCATGCGATACACGTGATCGTAACTCAACGTTAAAATTAGTAATAAACATAAACTGATAGCTGCATCACATGGAGCACAACTTGAATTGCGTATTTTAAATCAGTATCATTCATTACAATGTTATCACTAACGAGACTCCGGCAAGCTTTATCCAGTAAAACGGTGCCCTGTTTCAGTCGGTTGCTATCCTTAAGTCAGGTAAACAACTTCTCTGACTCGAAAAATGAGAGCAGCAGTCAATCGAGAACCAACGAATCACAGGATGAATCTGCTACAAATGACATGCAGATTCCCTCGGGTGAGGAGAACGTTTCTCGTCTTCTAAGAGAAGCTGCCACTTACAGCGATGCCAAGGACACGAGCTGGGCGACAAGTCCTTATCCAGCTGATGCTCCGACTTCCGTCGAGGAAGAAGTTGTCAAGCCAAAGATCGATCCGTTAGACACTTGTGTTGTACTCTTTCCAGGACAGGGTACCATTAAAGTTGGCATGGTGGAGAAGTACTTGCGCTTTCCACAGGCAAAAGAATTGTTTGAAATAGCCAACGAGATTCTGAACTACGATCTGTTGAAACTTTGCTTGAAGGGACCGCAAGAGAAGCTGAACCAGACCCGCTTTAATCAGCCAGCCACAGTAGTAACTTCATTGGCTGCATTGGAGCAACTCCGTGAAGAAAGGCCTAGAGTATTCGAAACATGTAAAGCAACTGCAGGTTATAGTGTAGGAGAACTGACTGCCCTGATCTTCTCAGGTGCTTTGTCCTTCGAAGATGGCATCAGACTAGTCTCTGTGAGAGGCACTGCGATGCAGTATGCTTCTGACAAATGTCCTCAAGGAATGCTATCAGTTTATTGTACTCCGGCGGCTCAAGTAGTAGAGGCATGCAAGCATGCTCAAAAATGGGCACAGGATTGTGGTGTAGAAACACCAGTTTGTCAGTAAGAATCATGTATTTATAAATTATACTCCTGTATTGTATTTTGTACTTTAGATTTGTGATTATTTGTGAACATTTGTTAGATGCAATATTATAGATACTACAGAAAGTATTGTTGCAGGGTGGCGATATACTTGTATACTCAAACGAAAATTCTGGCTGGAAATATTCAGGCTCTTGAGTATATAGAGAAAAATGCAACGAAATATGGACTTTCCAAATTAACCAGGCTGCCCGTGTCAGGCGCATTTCACACAAAGTTGATGGAACCAGCGCTCAAGTCCTTTGGCAAGATGCTCCACACGTTTGAATTCGACGAGTTTAGATGCCAAGTCTATTCCAATTATAAGGGATGCACTTATGGCAACACGGGTGTAATTAAGAAATACTTACCGAAGCAGATCGTGTCGTCTGTGAAATGGGAGCAGATTATGCAATTACTGTATAACAGACCTGAGGGAATGGCTTTTCCGCGTACCTTTGATGTGGGATCAGGAGGAAGAATGTCGACGATCCTGAAGTTAATTAATGCAAAGGCGCATGAACATTGTATAGTTGTCTAGCCTCTTTTATATTTTTCAACAATACTGGAGGAAGTCTGAGTGTACATTTGATAAGGTTATTGTGTATATATTTGTTGATTAACTTTAGTATAAGATTATTTCAATATTGTGACATACAGAAATAAAAATTATAATTATATTGGATACAAAAAAATGTGTCAATATATAATAATTTGTATATATGATATTTTTATAATATATAATTTAATTAATATGTATTCAAAGTATCGGAACATTCTTCAGCATTTATTTATCAAGTGTAAAAGGTAGAGTTCCACCCATTTACGCAATTGATATTTCGGACAAATGCATGGCGGCGCTGAAAATCATTTCTCTGTTTCCAAGAAGTGAGGTTGGATTCCGTGACTATTTCATGCATGGTTTTCTGCCGGTATCACGAATCGGTATATAATAATTAATCTAGCTGCATCATGAAGCTAGTAAGGTATGTAAAATGCATAAAAAATTGTACAATAAAAGAAGAAGTTGTGAGGAAGTAATTCTTCATTCGCGTGATTGTTTGTTGTGTATTTTAATGTTTATTTTCTGTAATGACGCTTTGTTTGTACGACTTAACCTATACTTTGAATATTTTTGCGCGAAAATGTTATTTTTTCGTGGATTAACTGTTCGTTGTTTTTTCATAGATTTTTGATGAAACTCAGTCACGAAACTGTGACGATAGAATTGAAGAATGGCACCCAGGTTACCGGAACGATTACAGGTATGTTAAAACAAGGTTATATTATCATGCTTTGGCATCAAATCATAAACAGATTTGCTGTACAAAATTAATTATGCTGATATATCATATTACTTTGTAATTAGATCTTAATATTTAATAGATTGCTGTGTCTATTACTTATAAATTAATTATAAATCATATTATAGGTGTTGATGTTGCAATGAATACACATTTGAAAACAGTGAAAATGACGATAAAGAATCGTGAGCCTATACAGTTAGAAACTCTCAGTTTGCGTGGTAACAACATTAGGTATTACATTTTACCTGATTCTCTTCCCTTGGAAACATTGCTGATAGATGATACACCAAAAGCTAAGGCTAAGAAGAAAGAAGCTGCGAGAGGTATATTATATTTTTACGGTATTTTATATCATTTTAATTATTTTTAATATATATTGAATAAAAATATTAACTTTGTCATCTTTGTGCTATTGTTGCAATTAGTAAGGGTTTTTTAATTAGATTTAATTATTTTTTAATTATATTATTTATTTCTAGGCGCTGCACGTGGCAGAGGACGTGGTGCCAGAGGTGGCAGGGGTGGCAGGGGTGGCCGAGGTCGAGGAAGAGGCAGGCGATAGTGACATTAAATATATTTTTCACATATTTTCAACACATACAAAGTTTTCTACTTTCACGCGGATGATAATTATTCCAATAATTTTATAAAAAACGTATCAATAAGAAGCTGTTTTCTTAATGTAGCCTTGATACTGTGTCTCAAGACAACATATGCACAAAAGAACATGGACATCTATTTTTAACAGAAAATTAAAATTGTAATTAAAATAATGAGTATACAAGCATTCCGATATTTTATATTGGATTTTTATTTGATATATTCAAACAAAAATTTATAAAATTAATTTTTCAAATTGTATTTGTGTTTGTTAGGTCATGATTTTCACTACAATATGATTAATATGATTTATAAATTTGTTTGTTGTATATTTAAACTATTTGAATCTGATATATAGCAGTATTAATTACAAATTTTTTTAAAAAGAACATTACAAGTCATGGTTACAAGGATTACATTAGTACAAATTACATTTATTTTACGTTGATATCATGCAGTACCATTGTAAAGCTACTGAATTAAATTAGAATAATAAGAATTTCTCTGTAATTTAAATAGCAAGACCTTTCTGAATAAAAAAATATCAGTGAAAACAATCAATATTCTATCAAAAAAAAATATCAATGAAAACAATCAATATTCTATCAAATATTAGATTTAAATGCCATTGCGTGTCAAATCGCTGCAAGTTTGCTTTTGTTACCTACGTTAACGAACTTCAACATATACTCGTGTGTTCGTATAACCACTTCTGTGACATGATAGCATGACGATTCGTGACAATGTAATTCGCACGTCACACATTGCGACGGTCTTATTCCAAAATGTTCGCGCATGATTATGTGGAGATCATCAAAAAGGCTGATCATCAATTGCGTACAATTCGTCATTAGATGCGGCCGCAATTTCGATGCAGATGATTTGGATGACATTTCCGATTTCGATGTCCAGGATGTTCCTAGTAATGTAGCGATAATTACCTCTGTTGCCATATTGTAGTGTACTTTTATAGAAATTTTAATCACAATATACCTAAAGAGTACTTTTATTTTGCTGTATAATTAAAAACGGATTAAGCGCAAAGTGCCACTTAATTATTTTTATGCAATTTATTTTTACACAGATATTAATACAGATTTTGAGAAATTGAGAAAAACTAAATTATTTTTATTAATCTTTATTAATTTTATTACCATATGCTACGTTAAATATTATATAATATGCAAAATTTTGCATTACTTTTGATTTAACAAAGGAGAATTAAAAGAATAAAAACATTCTCACGATAAATCTCAAGAAATAAATTAACTTGAAAATATTGCCAAGATCGCAAAATATCGTACAGACGAGATATTGCGAACGATTAATTCCGACAATAATAAAAATAATCATTACTACTTTATTGTTTTTATCGACTTTATTATCTTGGCTCTCGCTCTTGGTTCTCGGTGACTTAATCCGGAACGGAAACGATCGATATCGCAGACTCGGCGTAGCTTAACGTTACAACGAGACACAGAGGGCTTAAACGGACGGTTCAACGTCCTCGTAGTGCATTTTCAGCCGCAGACATTCGGGCTGCCGAGACAACCACGCCAGGACGATTTCCAGCATCGACCAGATGCACCGGGAGCAAGAAGGACTTCACCGCCGGAAGTGGTGACCAAAGTATTGCAGGCTCTCGAAGAGATGGGTGAACCTATAGGACCATCGACAGCAGAGAAATTGCGTGGAGGTCCATCGAATCCCCTAGGATACCTGCTGCATCCGGTAGCATCGTCAAGGAGAACGAGTTGACAGATTCACCACTTCGCAGTTTTAGCGATTTCTGTTCTGGAATTTGCTTCCGGAGTTTTTATTATCTTGAACTATCATGGAGAACGATTTGTTCGTGTAAAATATTTGTTTTTGTTATTTTACTCTCATTCTCTCTCTCTCTCTCTC